GTGCTACCACTGAGTTGCATCCCCAGCCTTGTCTTCATTCTTTAAAATCTATTTTACACAGAGCACTTGACAGAACGCAGATCCAACTGATTTAAGGGGACAGCAAGGAAGAGACATATAACTAGAATTTGGAACAGCTTCAGACCTGGTTCGTTCAAGATGGTCCAGTAACAATAGCAAGGACAACGAAACCCCAAATCATTTGGAGCCCTATTTTTACAAAATAGTCACGTCAGGGATTTTTAGTCATACTGATGACTCTTGTCTTGGTGTTTTGTGCTAGCTGATGTTTCTTTGTTTCTTTTAAATACTCAATATCATAGACTATCAACAGCTAACTTAAAGACAGTTAGGGAGAGAGGGTAGATGGGAAGTCTGTACAACCTGCTCAATTTTCTCTAACTTTAAAAGTCCTCTGAAAAATAAAGGTGTTTTTTGCTGTTGGGCATTGGTGACTCATAGCTGTAATTCCATCTACTCAGGAGGTGGAGATGGGGAGGATCTTGGTTCAAGACCAGTCTGGATAATCAATCAGCAAGACTCCATCTAAACAAATGAGCTGAATGTCGTGGTGTGTAGCTGTGGTCCTACCTTCAGAGAGGAGTAAACAGGAGGATCACAGCCTAGGCTGGCTAGGCCAAAACACAAGACTCTTGGAAAAATAACTAAAGCAAAAGGGACTGGGGACATGGCTCAAGTGGTAGAGCTGCTGCCTAGCAAGCTCAAGGCCCTGAGTTCAAATCCCAGAGCTGCCAAAAATTTAAAAAATCCTGCTGTTTGACTGACTTGGCCAAATGCAGGAATGTACTGAGGCAGAGGCTTGTGTGCTGTCACTTTAAGGTGCTACTAGGCTGATAATCAGGCCAGAGGGAATCTGTGTGATAGGTCATAACATTTTATTCTTTGGGCCTTAGACAAATGCAGACCTCATAAAACAGATGCCTGAGAGATGAGATTCCAGGATCCCTATGCTGACTGGCTCATTTATTCAAAATGGTTTCATGTTTTAAATATATTGTTTGAACTCAGGGGCCTGCACTTTAAGCAGGTGTTCTGCCATTTGAGTCACGCCCCCAGCCCTAAATGGCCTCGTTGATTTAAGTTGAAATGGTTCTTGTCTAGGAGATTACATTCTTCCTCTGTGCTCTTGTTTTCTGATAGCTAGAGACTGTTTTCTTTGTTTCTTTTTTTTGCTGTGTTGGGATTGAACCCAAGGCCTTTCACATGCTAGGCAAGTGCTGTACCACTGAGCTATACCCTCAGCCCCTCTTCTGGACAGGTAAACTAGCAGGGACTTGTCCAGCTCTGAGGCCACAATTTCACCATACTTATATAAGAGTTGCATGACAAGCCAGGCACGAGTGACTCATGCCTGTAATCCTAGCTACTCAGGAGGCAGCGATCAGGAGGATCATGGTTCAAAGCCAGCCCAGGCAAACAGTTTGCAAGACTCTATCTCGGAAAAAACAAAACAAAACAAAACAAAAAAAACCATCACAAAAAAGGGCTGGTAGAGTGGCTCAAGGCATAGGTCCTGAGTTCAAACTCCAGTACCGCCAAAAAAAAAAGTTACACAACAAATACAGAGGCTAGTCTTATCTCTTGTCCTGTCATTCACCAGTCACAGTCCCATGGCACTGTGATTCCCAGACCTCCTCCATGACTTGTGAATGGGCCCCATGTGTCTGAGTAAGCATGTGATTCTGGAATTCCTATTCTTTTAAGTTTTGACAAAGTTCAAAGGGAATAGTGCAACCACAGCTCTTTGTGCAATACTGAAGTGACTTCAGTGGAAAAACTTCCTCAGGGAGAACTTGATCCCGATTTTACAGATGAACAACTGGATTGTTAAGCAGATGTCCTCAGTCACTATGTTCCAGAAATAATAGCTAGCATTCAGTGAACGTCGGTGCTGTCTAGGCTTTGTTATGGTGCCCACCTGTAATCCCAGTACTGGGGAGGCTGTGGCAGGAGGATTTTCAATTTGAGGCCAGCCTGGCCTACATAATGAAAACTTATTTCAAAAATCAAGAACACAAAAGAAAATGTTCTGCCCTATATACATGTGTATATCCCTTTAAAAATATGTATATCCCTTTAAAAATATGTATATGTCTTTAGTGAAAAAGTAAAGTGTTGAAATCAATCATTTCAAAGATGCAGGATTAAAAGTGTAAAGAGCTGGTTTACTTTTATTATACCTCTCTATTATTTGATTTTTAAAAAATAATCATCTTGTGCTTTTATGATAAAAATAATTTATAAGCTGGGAGCTGGTGGCTTACGTCTATAATCCTAGCTACTTGGGAGGCTGAGATAGGAAGAATTTCAGCTCGAGGCTAGTCTGGGCAAAAAGTTTGTGAGACCCCCATTCCAACTAATATCTGGTGTGGTGATGCATGGCTCCTCATCTCATCTATGTATGACAGGAAGCATAAAATAGGGTCTTGCTTTTTGCCTGCCTGGACTGTGATCCTCCTATCTCCAAAATAGCCAGAGCTTTTAAAATGGCTCAAGTGGTAGCCCACCTGCTGAGCAAATATGAATCCCTGAATTCAAACAAATATCACAAAATTTTTTTTAATTAAAAAAATTTTTTTAAATGGGAAACTAGGATCAGCAGTTGAAAAGTGGTTTTTTATTGACTAACAGTTTCAGAAGTGGAAAGAATTACAGTAACTGCAGACTGAAGAATGATCAATTCCTCATTTTAAAATTAGCTTGGGCAAGATGTGGTGGCACAGCCTGTAGTTACAGCACTCAGGAGGCTGAGGTAGGAGGATTCAGAATTTAAGGCCAGCCAGGGTTACATAGTGAGTTCAAAACCAGCATGGCTACATGTCAAGACCCTATTTCCAAAAAAAAAAAATTGGCTTGAGCTTGGGATGTAGCTCAGTGGTAGAGCACTTGGTGACAACATGAGGCCTGGGTTCAATCTCCAGCACCTCAATATAAGTAGACAAGTAAATAAATAAAAATGAAATTAGCTCATCTATTACTTGTTCACTGTCTGTCTCGCTAACTTTTAGCTTCTGGAGCTTCTTGGCAGTCCTTGGTGTTCTCTGACTTACAGCTGCAAAACTTTAATCTCTGCCGTGCTTGTCACATGGCGTTCTCCCCTTGGGTGCCTGAGTCTCCTCTCTTATGCTGCATCAAGAGTCCACCTTAGGCTGGGCACCAGTGGCTCACGCCTATAATCCTAGTTACTCAGGAGGCAGAGATTAGGAGGATAGAGGTTTGAAGCCAGTCTGGGCAAATAGTTCAGGAGACCCTATGTTGAAAAAAAACCTTCACAAAAAAGGGGTGGTGGAGTGGCCCAAGCAGTAAGAGCACCGGCCTAGCAAGCGTGAGGCCCCGAGTTCAAACCCCAGTGCCACCAAAAAGAAAAGAAAAGAAAAAAGGAGTTCACCTTAGGCAGGGTGCCAGTGGTACAAGCCTGTAATCCAAGCTATTCTGAAGGCAGAGATTAGGAGGACTGTGATTTGAGGCCAGTTCCTGCAAAAAAAAAAGCAAGAACCTATCTGAAAATATACACCCAACAGAGAAAAGGGCTGGTGAATGGTTCAAGGGGTAGAGTGTCTTCCTAGCAAGCTTGGGTTCAAACCCCAGTGCTGCCAAAAAAATAAAAAATAAAGAAAAAGTGTGTGTGTGGGGGTCAACTCATTCCAGTATGGTCAGAACTGATGGTCTCTGTAGTGACACTATTTCCGAACAAGCTTATTCTGGGGAGCTAGGACTCAGTAAGTCTTCTTTTGGGGAGACAGGAGAGGGCCACAGGTGAAGCCAGAACACCTTCCCACAGGCCATTCTCACTGCCTGGCTTCCTGCCCCACGGAATGCAATGTGAGCTAGGCCTGCGTGCCATGCTTGTCTGCTCATCCACGCTTCCTCCTGTCCCGGCCTTCCTGGTGGGTGCCAGCCATCGCGACCATCTTCCTGTGTCTCTTCTTTCTTCCTAGAACGCACTGCCACCCACCGTGGCCGGCTTCTCCTTCTCACTTCCTTCCCGCCACCTGACCCTCCCTCCATTCCTGCTGGGTCTTCCTCACACCCTGCAGGGCTCCCCACCATTCTGCCTTGCACTTATCTGTTCACCCAGGGCCTCCCACATGCTAAGCAAGTGCTCCACCACCGAGCTAGGCCTTCAGCTCAGGGATTTTTTTTTTTTTTTTAACATTCAAAATCCTTGCAGATATTTTGACATAAGTTTAAGTTAAATAACATTTTGAACAGGCAACCCACTTCCATGGCTGAAAAGTCTAAGTGACATAAAGACGTTTCTAGAGAACTCTTGTTTCCTTTCTGCCCACCCTCATGTATTTTCCTCCTATAGGAAATCAGCTTTCTTATTCTACCGGTATTTTCTTACGCAAACACCATATATTTGCCCATACGTACACTTTCCATATCAGTTTAGAGAGAACTTCCTTTTTATTTATTTATTTATTTTTTACAGTCACATAGCATTCTCCTAAGGACACATCTAGTTTATAGTTAACAGTTTCCCTGTCGATGAACACTCGTTGATATTAGCAAAATGTAGGACAGATCTCTCTCTATTTTTTTTTTCCCCCTGCAGAGCTGGGGATGTTATTCCAGGGCCTTGGGTATGTTGGGCAAGCCCTCTACCACTAAGCCACATCCTCAGAGCTTTGCTTTTTTGAGACAGGATGTCCCTATGTAGCTCAGCCTGACCTGCAACTCTCCATCCTCCTGCCTCTGCCTTCCCAGTGCTGGGATTATAGGCAATGCACCACTTTCCTGGCTCAGGAAATTTTATTCTATGCTGAATCTCCCAGAGTCTTGTCAGAGTACATTGTCAGTGAACACATAGAAAAATGGAATGCATAATTGAATGAATGAATGAATCAGTGAACGAACCAATGACGGAGGAACCAACAGTGAAGGAGTAGTATATATGCGGTGCGGCGGAGGTTCCACCAGGTGGCGCTGCAGACGGCGGGCTCACCTGGCCGGGCGGTGCGCGCCGCTCTTGCCGTGGGCACTGACGGCGGCGCGGGCCGAGCGTGGGGGGTAGGGCGAGTCATATGACCCACTCGGCTTCCTGGCTCCGGCCGCCGCCGTCTTCCCGTGTCCGCCCGCGTCGCGCCGGGGCCCCGAGGAGCCGTTGAGGGGGTGGGGGGGTCCGGGCCGAGGCCCGCTCGTGTGGAAGTCCTCGCCGCCGTCGTCTGTCTGCCCTCGTGTTCGTCTTCCGTCCGAGCCGTCAACATGCTGGCGCTCATCTCCCGCTTGCTGGACTGGTTCCGCTCGCTCTTCTGGAAGGAGGAGATGGAGCTGACGCTCGTGGGGCTGCAGTACTCGGGCAAGACCACCTTCGTCAATGTCATCGCGGTGAGCACCGGCCCGGGGCTGGGCGGCCGGCGAGCGGGCGGGCGAGCGAGCGACTCCGCGAAGGCCCGAGCAAGGCCTGCGTCCCCCGGCGCGGCGGACGGGGACGGGACGGGAGCGGGGGCCGGGACTTGGGATTTCCCGCGTGTTGGCGGCGGAAGGTGTAGCTCTGGGGTCAGCACCCTGAAGGGTTAACGCCGTTTAAGTTCTTTTCTACGCTGCGGAGGCTTGGCTAGGGTTAAGTGGAGCTCGTTGCGCCTTTAAAGCGCTAGGGAGGTGGGGGTGGGGGTGGGTTGCGCTTCCCCCAGGTTCTAATCCAGGGCGTGGGTGGGTTAACTCCTCTACCACTTTCCCGGGAGTTGGCGAGTCGGTCGTTCTTGAGAGAGCCCGAGAATGAAGGACCTCTCTCAAGTTGCCACTTGGGATGGGGAGCCCCATTGTGACAGCAGGAGGGCCCTGTGGGCGCCGTGCTGAATTCCGAGGGCAGCTTGACCCCTCCCATCCAGTCACTGTTTTTCAAGTCCTCCGAGGGTCGAAGATCGGGTTTGATTGCCCACCTCGCTGGTTTAGAAGGCGGGGAGGGGTAGTTCTGCCTAGTCCTTGCACAAATCCTTGTTCTTTATTTTTATTTGTTTATTTTTGGGTGGAATTAGGGTTTGAACTCAGTGCTGCTTGAGCCACACCTCCAGTCCATTTTTGCTGTGGTTATTTTGGAGATTGGGGTGGGGGGGGGTGGTCTCACGAACTATTTACCTCAGCCGGCCTTGAACCGCAGTCTTTCTGATCTCAGCCTCCGAAGAAGCTAGGATTACAGGCGTGAGCCACAAGCGCCCCGCCCCTGCTGTTTCTTAAGCGAAGGAGGAAGAGGTCTTTTGTTTTTCCAGCGCTAATGATCTTAAGCGAGTGGGCAAGGTGGACCTGCGGTCAGTGCATAGTTAACCATCTTGCAAAAGAGATTGGTCTTTGGAGGATTTTTCTCACTTGAAGAAAAAGGAAGGATTTGTGCTGGAATATAATTAATGTCAGGCTCAGGAATGGGGTCTCTGGGAGGAAAATTGCTCAGAGAACTTACATACAGTGTGGTGGTTATTCAGCAATGTTGAGTAGAAGGATGGTTATTCAGTTTTGCTTTTTTTAATTGGTTGGGGTAGGAATACGAGCGGAAGATTTCTTGTTAGTGTTTATTCAAGAGCCCAGAAGTTGTTGTGATTAAGGCTTAGGGCTTGTCCTTGCCCGGGATGAGCTTTAGAACTGCTCTGAAGAGATGACAGTAGTTCTTCCTCCTTTTAGGTGACTGTTGAAATCCTCTTTAACAGGGGACTAGCTTGTCCAACTGGTTTGGTTACAGGAATGATTCAAACACGGCTGCCATGCTGGAGAAAATAGGTAGCTTGTGACTCTTAGTCCTTGCCCTAATAGAGCAGCAGGGTTGAGTAAGATGTAGAGAAAAAGATTAGCAGACATCTGAACTTCTTTTAAACAGTATTGCATATGAGTATAAGTATTTGTCATTTGACTCCTTGTAATGTTTCTTTTGTAGTGCTATGATTTTTCTTTTGCTTAGAATGATTATAAACAGGTATATAAGAATGGAACTCATATTTAATGACACAAAACGAATAAGAAAAAGCAAACTTCAGGTGTTGTATTTACGGTAGGTTTTTTTATATGATAGGAAAAGGTGAGGTGTTAGTCTGAGTGCTGTATATTTTCCTTGAGATAAGAATTGGAGTTAACTTGAAAAGCCCATCCCTTTGACAAGAGTGAATTATAGTGTATATAGGTATATCAGTGAAATCAGTTGTTTGTTGTGGAGGAGTAGTTGCATGGAAAATCTTTGAGAGACTTCCTGCTAATTTTTATTCGTTGTTTTCAGTAGACAGTGTAGCTTAATAAGCATGAACTTTGTAAGCAACCCTGGGTTTGAAATCTGAATCTGCCACTTAGTCACTTGTTTCCTCTTGTAAGTCCTTGTTTTCTCATCTGTTTAGATGATAGGTTTCGTACAGCATCGCTGAGGACTAAATTGAATGAAAAATGTTAAGTGACTAGGGTAGATAAATGGTACACTCATTTGCTGCTTAAACAAAAAGATAATTGAGAAGGAAATCTGCTGGGATCTTTTCCTTTGAATCTCAAGATGTATACAAAGGTGGGCTGCAGAGTTGGATTTATGGTTTGTGGAAAGTCACATCTCCACCTTCTTTTGCTGTAGGCTATTCTACTGAAGAACAGCAAAACTTCTGCAACTCTGTCAAATTCACAGTGACCCAGTGGGTCCACTATTAGTATTACACTGTTCTTTTGGAATTACAAGGATGTGGATAGGTTCTGTTAAGAAAAAAATTTAAGATTTGTTTAACTTGTTTTACTCATTCCACATTGTACACATATATCAAAATTGTACCTCATAAGTATATAATTAGATTTGTCAATAAAATCAATATTTAAAAATTCTGGACTGTAATTGGTGGTGGCCTTTAAAAAATGCTGAAAAGGATATCTCAGGGAATTTCTTCTTTTTTTTGAGATTTGTGTATCCCAGGCTGGCTTGGAAGTCTTCATCTTCCTGTCTCAGCCTCTTGAGTGCTGGGATTACAGGCATGTAATAGCATGCCTGTTCCTGTCAGTGATTATCATAGAATATATTGAGGGTGAGGAAAAGGTTAGTGATTAAAGGATTATAGAATTAGAAAGAAATAATGTATTTAAAATAGTAACTGTAGCCTTGCCTTTTAAAAGATTTACTGCACAATTCTTTGTATTTTATATAAAATGTGTGACTTACAGAAACAGAAGTACAGCTACATTGAGTTCTGTGTTTCCCTTTTATAAAGCTGGCCATTTATTCAGAGCCAGCAGTTTTTTCTATATGCAAAGTTTCAGGTGAAGCCAGTTTTCTTTTTGTGAAAATCAGCTTTTTCTAAATGATAAATTTAAGTGTCACTATGTTTACCTTAAAAGTTAAAGATATAATAGAGTCATTTAACTTACAAAATTTGTGAAGCTGAATTTCTTATGTGTAGGGTTTGGTCCAGTTCTAAAAGATTAGGCTGTTTAATTACAGAGATATTTAGTCTTAAAATAATTATTCTTACGGGCTTTAAAACTGAAATGATAGCTCATTTTATCTAATATTTTGTTGAGACATTGATACACAAAGTGCTCTCTTTTGTTTTGGGCATTATAAAAAGAACTACCACTAGCCTTTAGTCAGAAACAGTGTTTAGTTACAAACACCACAAACCAATTTGTGTTAGGATATAAAATAATGCCATTGCTAACCATTCTGACAGTTATTGCACCATAAGTCTTGTGTAATATATGTTGCGTAATCGTTGGGAGTTTATGTATGTTCTAGTATAGTTACTGGGAAATATGTAATAGAATTTGCCAAAATATTGTAGGGTAAACTTTATAAATACTGTGTATTTTAAAAATGGATAGTGTTATAAAAATTTGTCTACACTTGTGCTTTTTGTTGTTATTTTTTGAGACAGGCTCTTGCTATGTAGCTCATGCTACCCTCAAAACTTGTGATCTTCCTGTCTCAGTCTCCTGAGTAGCAGGGTTACAGATGTGCGCCTTCATACCTGGATTACACTTTTGCAAATTGTAACCTGGAAAGGTTAATCCATGGAAAAAAAGTTTATTACTGCTGAGAATTAGGAAAAGAAAATATTTGGGAAGATTACAGAAATGTGAATCTAGAATCTTTTTGTTGTCGTTAAATCATCTTTTTAAATTAGCATCATTAATTGTACAAGGGGTTTCATTGTGATACTTCCATAGACGTGTACCATGTACTGGGAACAAGTTCGCCCCTCTATTATGCTCCTTAGCCATCTTCTCTTCCCCTCCCCCTTTTCAAACAGTATTTAGTGGATTTCCTTATGTACTTCTCTCCTTAGAATCTTTGTTTCATGAGACAGGGTCTTGCCATGTAGCCTACACTGTCCTCAAACTCACCATCCTCAGCCTCCTGAGTGCTAGGATTATAGGTGTGTACTACCCTGTCCTGCTAAGAGTCATTGTCTTTTTAAGTATTTGTAGAAACCTTAATCAAGTAGTATTAATTTTAAAGATGTGACTAGGAGATCCAGAGAGGCTAAATGAAATTCTAAAAATAGTATAGCAGAGATGGGATTAGAACCCAGGGCACCTGGCTCTTAAAATTCAGCTGAGGTTAGAACCATAGAGCTTTGAATTAGGACATCTTAAAACTTTATAAAATCTTTGAATTTAAATAGCATTTTTATTTATTATTTTTGCAGTGCTAGGGCTCAAATGTAGGGCCCATAGCCGTCTAGGCAGGCATTCTACTGTGGTGTGTTATGCCACTAGTCCTTTGAATTTATATAGCGTTTTTAAATATAGACATCTTAAGCATGAGCTTTTGGGGGCCATTATATAAATGGACATGAGTTGTATATATATTACAAATATGTTATTGTATATACTGACATGAATTAGGGGAAGGGGTGATGTAGGAAGTAGGGTGGTGGGAGTCATGTTTAGAATTTAAATCTGTGTGGTAGTCATTATTGTTGAACTACCTTTAATATATAAAAAAGCAGAAATAACTGAGTTTTGTTCCATGGCTTACTTTAATTACTTTGGAGTGAGAATGGCAAAAACGTTTTTAAAGAAAATATGCTGTGGCTCACGTGTAGATGTTTAACAGATCTAAGATTTGAGTGTAGAAGCAGCCTTCAATGAGTTGGTCTTCATCTGTAGGTTCAGTTGTAGAACATGGGGCATCCTGCTAAGGATCACCTGTCTTCAAAGTTCTTTACTTGCCATTTCTTCTGCCATTATCTTTTCCATGTAGATTAAGACTCTTGAAAGCTAAATGTTCTCATTAAGAACATGTTAGAGTACAACAATCCATTTTAAAGAGCTGTTTCACAATTTAATGGACCTTTTTTTGTTTTGTGGAACTGAGGTGCTTTGTGTACTGTTTTCTTTAATCTTTTTGCTTGTAACTATGGTGTAAGCATTTT